CGAAGCTGCCAACCATCTTAGATGAATTTGTTTGTGGATGAAGTCGTGTGCACTCTCTTCTTTAAACCACCGAGAAGTCGTGGTTTTGCAAAAGTTTTATAAAAGTTTTTCTTGTCCTCAGATGAGAAAGTGAGGAGATTTTCTCTCCAGACTTCGTGCCACGAACGTAAGTTAAGACATACTCTGTAATGAACACAGGAAGCCTAGTTTCTTCGGAGCTAATAGTTTTTTTTCAAAGGCATATTTTGTCAAGGATCTGAAAAACATATAACGAATCATTGAATTAAAAAATATGGGTAAACTTTATCTGAACGCTATTATAAAGTCTTTTTTGCTGTTTTCGAACTGTAAACTCAACTTTTTGTATTCAGATATGTATTTGGTAGACATGTATATGTGTGCAAACTTTCTACTTTTCATAATCAGAATCTTCTACTTTTTTTTATTTTTGTTCCCAACTAAGTGTACACTTTCTGTCTCGAGACTGCAGTTCTGCGACCAATAGGGTCTAATTCTATCTATATGCATTGCCATAGTTTTCTTTCCTCTTTCCATCCTCTCGTTTAATTCTATATTTAAGATCTACTTGTTTCTTTCTAATCATATCAGGGCCGTACCAAAAGCTCAAAAACTTTCCTTGAGTTTTTTAAAGGGATACATACCATCTCATTGTTACCAATGGCAGTGTTTATGGGTGTAATTCCTATCATAAGACATCTCCTGTCGTTACAAAGCTTTGAACATGACTAGAAGTACTTTACATAGCATTATGGAAGAGGTACATACATATCCTCTTAAATTAAATACCTACGAGGGCCGTTCAAAAATTACGCGGACTGTGCTATTATTTACTCTTACAGATGTCATATAGTTATAAAATTTCACAGACATATGTATCTTAAAGATTCCAATAAATTTTTGGCAAAATTTCTATATTTTGAAAAAATTCTACTGAAATTATCAGTATGTTGATATCGTTGATGGAGAGGTACGGCGCACGACAAAAAAAATTGTAGCAAAAGCATGCGGATTCAAAAATTTAACTCATTGATTTTCTAAAATCCGCGATATTTTTCAACAAATTTCTCAAATGTACCTTTAAATTGTTCTATTATTATGTATTTAGATTTCGGACGTAATATTTGAAGTACTAACAGAAATAAAGTGATTTTTCTCTGATGCAATTCCGTGAAAACGACTGTGAAAAGGAGACTTGACGGCGCACCACACTTTTGTTAAAATATGTGTAATGCTCGTGATATCGGCAACATAGATCCAAAATATGCATAATAAAACATGCAGTCAACTAGGCTGCTTATGACATTCGCCCAAAAATAGCAAATTAAAATTTTAGACAGTTAGACCTCTATATCTCATACACTATATCTCATAAGTAGTTTTTGGTTAAAAAAAGAATATTCTTTACTTGTTTAATAGATTTTAAGCTTGACAAGAAATGGTGTTTTGATGTTGAGTAGATAAGGTAACTCAAACTATACAGGTACTCAAGGGAAAATGTTGAGAAAATGAAAGCTCAATCACATATTTTTTATAATGTTCGTGACGTCGAAGATTTTGCTGCGCCGTGACTTAATGGTATGTCCTGAAAAATCACTCAAAATTAATACCAATTTACAACATTTTGATATGAAATTTTGAAGACCATATAAGTAAAGATTCTTTTATAGTATTCACTCATTTTATACAAACAACAACATTCTATGCATGACAGCCAGCCGTGCGTGCGCTGGACGCCGTATTTTATTAACAGTACATCAATATACATATATATATGGCACGCCAAATTCACAAAAATGAGATAAACCTAGTTTCACATTTGATAAACTAGTGGCCGGTTGCGTACCTCAGATTTAAACCTACGATCAATGATTCCGGGTTTAAATCCAAGTTTTCGCGTTGCACGCATGTAAGGATTGACTGAGTACGGCTCAGAATTACGGTGAATTCTGAACCTGGTGTAGGGGTGGTTTAAACCCGGCTTTATAACATTTCCATGGATTTTTGGGTAGAATATCTCGATATTTGAAATATTTCTATGTTACAGAAATGTTTTATGGTAATGATGATTGCATTGATAGATTTTGCAGTATTAAAAGAGCTATTCTGCAAGAAAATTTTTATGGCCATATTGCATGGGGATTTTTCTTTTTGCACAATTCTTTAACAGCTGTTCAATGTGCCGTTTTAACAACGATGTAGCTGTAATATAAAGTTTTTGAAGGTACTTTTAAAATACATAAATGTACATAAGCAGGAATTTTATAGAAATTTTCTAATACTCAGTATACCAAATTTAAATCAAATTTAGGAATTGATGATGATACACATTCCAATTATTTCTAATAATGCCGATTTTCCTAAGGATAAAAAGTATTTCAGTTATCTGATTAATCAGGCTATCTACATGGCCGTAGGAACCGGGGGAGGGAGGTATGTACGTCCCCTATCATTTTGCCGCTGTAAAAAATTCTCTAGAAAACATAGCTAATATGTGTTGTCTCAAAAGTAATGTCTTATACCTTTTTTTTCATTTGATCTTTTTAAACTACAAATCTAATTTTATATATTGTTCCTTTATTAATTACCCATATCTTGTGTTTTGGTATTGTTTCTAAATTACTTATTCCAAGACCCCCATCCCTGTTTTCTTCTCTTCAGTCTTTTGTCAAAGCTTTATTTTGTTTGCGATTTTATATTTTCTTATGGTTTGAGTTTCAATGAAAGATGCCGTGATTTGAATTAAATTGTATTGCATTTTTTCGGCATTTTTAATTTACAAATTAACATCAATATATATCTTTGTTTTTAAATATATCCTTTTAAGTTTCATCCATTTACTAGTATTAAAACTTGTTTTGAAGTGCTGTAATATGAGGAAACCTATTATACTTCAACATCTTATATGAGTAAGTCAAGATTAGGTAAACCTTACTCAGTTTTATAGCGTGCAACAGAAATGCGACTCAGGTAATCCCGACTCAACTGGGGTTAAACCTGGCTTACGTGATCCACGGATCAACCACTGAGCTGTACTTATCTGAGCCATAGATACGCAACTGGCCATAGGTTTATCGACTGTAAACTATAGTTTACAAACCGTAAACTATAGTTAACGATTCGTTAATTATAGTTAACGATTCGTTAAGTATAGTTTTCATCTGCAAAACTATATTTAACGGTTTTTAACTATAGTTTACGAATGATAATCTAAGTTTATCTGTCTGTAATAAGCGTTAACAATAGATTTTGTTGATAAACATAGATTCACGTTTGTAAACTATAGTTTACAATCGTAAACTATAGTTAAGAGTTGTTAATCATAGTTTCACAAATCGTGAAACTATATTTATCAGATCGTTTACTATAGTTAATGGTTTGTAAACTATAGTTTACAAATCGTGAAACTGTATTTATCAGATAATCTATGTTTTGCAATATGATTGTTTTCGGTGTTAAGTATAGTTTACGGTTGTGAAACATAGATTATCGCGTTAACTATGGTTTACAGATGTAAAATATAGATTAACGTTGTTAACTATAGTTTACAGTCCGTAAACTATAGTTTACAACCGATAAACCTAGTTTATCGACTGTGAAACTATGTTTAGCTCATTTTTGTGAATTTGGCGTGCCATATATATATATAACACAGGACATTGTGTATGAGAAATAAAAACATCAAAATCCCCAAAAACTGCTGCATCTATTATAATTCTAAAATATTCTTTGTGATTAACATGAAAAGCATCAGGGCCGGCCAGGAAAAACTAGAGATAAAAATAATTTTTAAAAAACTCTAGAAACCTGTGTCCGTTGCCAAGTGCCGCTGGATGCAAAAAATGTTGCGACGGACCTCACAACCTACCAATAAAACCCTAAGAAATATTCACTTATACCCTTTATATATATAAATTTAAAAAATTTAGCTGTTGCTCGCTTAAGTCGGCGGCTAGAAGTGACCAACCTTTAAAAACCAGTTCTCTACTACACCTCAAAATCAATTTCTATTGGTCACTCTCTGACCAATACACACAACATGCGTATAAACATCTTGTCATTAATATAACATTTTCCCGCTATACTAGCGAAACGCGGGAAAATATCAGTATTCACTTCATTATTTTTATACAAACAAACAACAACATTCTATACATGACAGCCAGCCGTGCGTGCGCTAGAAAGCACAAAGTATGGGCAAAAAGAGAAACGACTGTGACTATAAACCCAGAGATTTTGAAACAAGCAAACGCTTCTCAACTGAGTCAACAATATATCCGTCTTTTGAACTATCTGTTTTCCATCTACCATGTCTTTTAAGACATCTATCATCAAGATCAGAATTTGCAGCCACAGTTGCTCCCCCCGACCTTAAAGAATGAAGCCCTATATCTACTTCCCCAACAACAGATTTAATAAGTGGTATTATGTTATTTCTTGAAGCAAAATAACTTATCTTTTTATTTTTATAAATCAGTTTACAATTGTCTTTCGACCTAAAAATAGGTCTGAATACAAAAAATTGTTTATCACCCACATTTCCAACAAGTTCCAAATAGCACTGGTACATGCTCACCGGACAGGCAGGTGTATCCCCTTTTGAAATAACTACTTCGTTCCATTGCCGATATTGATCTGTCTTGCTTTTTCTGATGCATATCACTAAATAATCATCACGAATCAGTACATCGTTGAAACAGAGAGAGCTTAACTCATCAAATGGCAAAAACCAACAAAACTAAACAAAATCATTGTGAGGTTTCTAACAATTAACAAATCAGTTGAATCCTGGAACTTAACACACAACTCTATTAAAACTTCTTTGGTAATCGGCTCCTTTTTGTTTACAGATTTAGAAACTTTTCTCCTCGCTGCTTCCTGTATTGATAGAACAAATGAATTTTTGTAGGATCTGTAAAGCCCAAACAGTCATGCGCCCACTTGATCCCGTACACATCCGAATTAATTGGATGTTGCGCCATTATCTAAAAGCTGTGTCAAATACAATGCCACGTGAATGGGGTTTGCCGGAAGTGCACTATGTCCATGTGATTTGATGAAGGTCTCCCATCTTTTGAAAGCGTTGAAATAGTTTTTGTTCGTGTTGTCACTTTTACTTGATAATATCAAAACACTCATGTGGGGACAAAGATCGTCCAAATAACTGCCAGGTTTCACTCCACTGTCCAGCGCTACCTCCCGAACTCTATCCTGCAAACCTATTCCTGAAAAATCAAAATTCAATTCTTAAGAACATCATATTTAACACAAGTCCTTCTTTACCAAATATACCGTTCTTTCCCCTACCTCTACACACAACATCAACATTTTTAAGTTTTGCTATATTTCTTACATACCAAATGAAATTGCCATCCTTACAGACCAACATTGGCCAGAAGGGTGCAGATTTCCACTCTGGTATCACCAGAGTACACTTACACTTCTCAAACTCAATTTTTCTTACACATCTTTGTATCAAACAAGGTGGTGGTACAACCCAGTTAACACAATCTGACCATACCTGTTCAAAAGCATCGACTCCACTTCACCGATTCAGCGCACCAATATTTGGAACTGAATACTTCACACTTACTGTCATATTTAGAAGCAAATCTGTCACATGTATGCTTACCCCATGCTTCATCAAAATATTGAAACACTCCCTGTTTAATTGCCCAATCATCACAATCATTCATCCTGCTTAGTGTGTCTGCTCTCTTATTAGCAGTTCTAGGCAACCATTTGCAATTCAACTGGATATTCTCCTTCTTACACAGCCCATGCACAGACATAGCAATGTCCTGTAAACCCTTATTTCTACTTCCTACCTTAAGTATGTGTGGCACATTCTTGTTATCTGAATTTACTTCAACTGAATTGCTCTTGACCAAATCCACAGAATTATCTAAAATTCTCTCCACAGTTTCAAGTTCCCTCCAAGTGGAACTCTGTCTACTTTCACACTCATTCCAAATACCATACCATTCGTATTCCTTCTGTTCATCCTTTGAACTTATAGTCAAATGACCTCCGTATCCAGAATCTGAAGCATCACAAAATACTTCAATTTGTCTGACATCTTTGTCCCTTACCTTACTCAACGGAGCACCCTTTTCATTCATGCTTTCCAAATTTTTTAGCCAAAACTGAAATTCGTCTACAGCTTCCTTACTCAACATAATATAAGAATTCCAACTGGATCTTATTAAAATGCAATAATACATATACCTGGTTCTTAGCCTAACTGCATCTCCAAACACAGTTTGTGTTGAAATGATCTGACCGACTACTGATGCAATGGATCGCACTTCAAACCATTCGTATCCGGCTTTGATGCCTTCCAAAATATTTTGAACATTTCCCTTAAGTTTGTTTATCCTTTAATTTGATACTGATATTCTATCACATTTTGTGTCCCAAACAAAACCTAGCCATATTATTTCTTGAACTGGTTCCCAATGACTCTTCTCATCAGCCACTAAAAAACCTAATGCATTTAAATCAGCTTGAATTTTTTCACTAACAATTCTAGCGTGATCTAAAGTTTTAGCGCCACCTATGCCGTCATCTAAATACATAACGATTTTATAACCCTTCGATCTCCAAAATTTAACTACTTCTCGCAAAACCTTTGTGAAAATATATCCAGCAGTGCTAATGCCAAATGGCAGAACGTTAAACACATAGAATTTGTTTTCCCATTTAAAACCCAAATACTCTCTGTCTAACTCATTTATCATAATATGATGATAAGCGCTTTTCAAATCAAATGAAAAAATGTAATCACCCTCTTGAAAAAGTTCACGTGATGTACTCGCGTCTTCATACTTGTGTTTGTATTTAAATAAATGTGGATTGACATGCCTAGAATCTAAAACCAACTTTTGTTTTTGTTTATTACCTGCTACAGTCAATGGATTCACTACTTTAGGTTTGTCCATAACCTGTCGAACACAGCCATTTTTTTTTACCAACTTTTCTATTTCATTTGATACAAAATTGGCATTTTCCAATGCAGATTTGTTATTCTTAAGTTCTATAGAACTAGGAATTGTAAATGAAGGCAGTTTGTAACCAAATTCAATTACACTGACATACCTGCTCGCTCCAATCGAACGCCATTGACCTACATTTTCTTTCAGTCTACCTACCGGTGAATTACTTGTGTTCGTCCCGCATGACTGCTTTGTGTCAAAACATTCAAATACAAAACTACTTATCTTTTCATCTATTTTTACTGTACAATCCTTTCACCAGTGTCCCTTCGTATGGCACCTGTAGCACTGGCTTGATCTCCATACATCCGGCGTAGTAAAGGTTGAAGTACTGCCTCCTGTAGCGTTGATAGAAGGGTAGGGCCTCCACTTCTCTCGCATATCCCTTCGACGTTTGATACGTTCGTCCTTGACTTTTCCCTCTGCCCTCGTTTGGAAATTCTTTTTTCACCATCTGAGTCCGAAGCTATTGGGTTCTTTACATATTCATGTACAGCTTTCCACCCGGCTGATGACGAATCTGCTAACTTAACTAGTTTTTGTCTCTGTTTAATCAAGTTAATACCTTCTGTTATCTTTTGTCTCACTCCTTGAATGCGGTTCTCTTCCAGTTCTTCGTTCGCCTCCTTCAGCTTTGCCATTACTTTAACATTGTGCTTATGCTGTTCTTCATTACCGCGCTTTTTGAATTTAGCTGTGAACACTTGCTCGAACTTCGCTTCTTGCCGCTCGGCGATTATTTTTTGATTTTCATTTATACTTCTCTGCACTTTCGAAAGTCTACTGTCCAAAATACTGGAAAACTGACTCAAAATCTCATTGTTGGCCTGTTGAATTGACCGATTTATTTGCTGTTGAACGTCCCCGGCGTCCATAATTTAGCTGTTGCTCGCTGAAGTCGGCGGCTAGAAGTGATCAACCTTTAAAAACCAGTTCTCTACTACACCTCAAAATCAATTTCTATTGGTCACTCTCTGACCAATCCACACAACATGCGTATAAACATCTTGTCATTAATACAACATTTTCCCGCTATTCTAGCGAAACGCGGGAAAATATCATTATTTGTGAAATTTTGCCCGATTATGTCGTCAAATGTTTCTTCTGTGCAACAAGTCCGCATAATTTTTGAACGGCCCTCGTATGTGTTCCTTCCGGGGATCCATACATAATACCCAAATGAGTTATGACCTCTCTTCTCAACATTAGCACGGTAAGATTTCACACTAGTACTATCGTGAATAGATAAACGATAACCATAAGAACATGGGGCAAGAGTTTGTCCTAGTCAGATAATTGAAGACATAGGCAGTTAACATAGCTAAAGTTTTATTATATCATCCCGTCTGACAAAAGATGAAAAACAGTTGTCCATATACTGTAAATCACTTTATTTTCGCGTAAATATGCGAGACAATGCGTTCGCGAAAATTAAATTCTCGCGTATAAAAGTATTCCTTACGATTATATAGAGGAATGACAACTATTCGTGAAAATTATGTGTCGCGAAAATTAAGTGATCTACAGTACCCAGTAAGTTAAGAAGATCCTTAAACATTCTGACTTCTGTGGTGCCATATCATATAAACTGATTTATCAATACTTCGCCTTCTGTCTGGGCTTCCATGTTCTTTAATTTTATAGATATAAGACTAACTTTTTTGGAGTAGTCTGCAATCACAAGTGTTTGTTGCTTCTGTCAGTTTCTAGGAATGGTTAAATAATATTTGTTGCTGTACGCTCTAAGGGAGTGTCTGTTAGATGAAGTTTCATTTAAAATTTTCCCGTTAAGTGATTCTAGCTTTTTTTGCAATAGGGACAACATGTAACATACCTTCTAACGACACTTTGAAATTGTGTCTAAAATAATCGGTTTTGTGCCCTTTTCTAGTGTTAGGTTCCAAGATATTCTAAGGTTCTGGTATGTTGACACAACTCTAACATATATCTTCTTTCTGAAAGAGAAAAAAAATTACTCGATGGTGCATTTTTTTTTATTAATTGTCTCCAATTTCTACAAAGAACACAATACTGTACCGTGACGAAATGAATTTAATAATCTACTTTTATGCATTTTATTAGAATATTCTGAACGCTTGCTATTTCTTATCAAGTCTATACTAAGTCCTCCTCATTGCCATTTTCTAGTGTTCAGATCAATAGAAAAAGATCATTCATAGTAACCACTGCACGCTCTGCACAGGAAGAAGTTTGTTCCTCTTGATTCATTTCTTATTCCAGTCTTCTGTAAATCCACAATGATGTCAGGGGAGCCTACTCAGACTTTCCTCACTGCCATGAATACCAACATTTCTGTTTTTTTATGGTAATGGTGATTTAGGCGAGCAATAATTTGTGATTCAAATGTAGTTTGACGCTCAGTTATCTCCATATACCTTCTTTTTTCTCAATTAAACAGAGGTTTAGCAATGAAAAAATACATTTTTATAAGTCTGTCGTAACTATATAACTCTGTAGATGATCTTAGTTCACAGGCATTCAGTGGAGCTGGTCATTCCTATACAACAGAAATCTTCTGTTGGTCTATGTGTACGTCTTTTTAAGATAATTTTCCAGGAATGTCACCTTTCATGAATTAAGGACATGTTTTTTCCTTGACATTGAGCTCACAAACATCAATTTGTCAAACACTTGTTTTAAATTATCGAGGGTTTTCTAAAATAGACAATAAAGAAAACAAATCTTGTTATTAAGTACAGCTAGTACTTTTGTGGAAGCATCTTACATGTTACTGGACTGTTTAAGCACTGAAATGGCATAACAGTAAATTGATATAGTTCGCTGCGAGTAAAAATTGTCATCTTTGGCTGGACACTTTTCAATCTCGTCTGGTCGATATTCAGAGTGAAAGCAAGGGTGCAGAACGAAGTTTCTACCCGCAAACAGTCTAGCAAGTCATAGTTAAAGGTTATGCTTCTTTCACATTGTTGTTCTTCAGTGACCTAAAATCTGTACAACACATTTTTCTGCCCTTCGTTTCAACCGGCTGAAGGTCTATAAAAAGGTTCTAACACATCTATTCATATTTGTAATATTTTTTTTTACTGGAAAAGACATTATGGCCACCTAAAAACAAAACATTATAATATCCGTAATGAATTCAAGTTTTCAATCGTCATCTTCCCTTACCTAATATGTAGCAATAAACCCATTTCACTTACGTATGGTATTTATGTCTCTCAGTTGACTCGATGCGCAAGAGCATGCTCTTTAAGTGTTAGTAGAACAGCCACGGTTCCTACTGTTTTGTGAAGTATCAGGTTCTTTCACCCCAACTCAGGATAACTCAAAATAGCTCAGGACAAATGCTCTAGACTGCTATCTTCACTTAAGTACTTTTCTTTTAATCTTTACTTACTATGGTAAATTTGTGTAAAATTAAATGTTGTTACCTTTCAGCTTTGGCACCTTCTTTTCTTCTGATTCAGTTGGAAGATTCCGATTGCTTCATGTTGACTTCTATGCTGGGTGTCCACAAATGGATTCTGTTTTTGCATTAATATGCATGATGGATAATTATAAACCCCACACATAAGATACATGTACCTTGCAGTTTGTTTTGAAGAATTAATTTCATTTTAAATTGTTTATTTTCGTTTTTAATATTTCGTTGGTTTTTTTTTAATTTAGTATCGATTTGCACTATTGGGCTTCCCTACGATTTCGAGTATTTTCGGGAATGACAAGATCAGCCAACCAGTCATTTGGAATGTTACATTTTAAACTTTTTATTTGCCGTCTGGTTCATTGCTGTACGCTTCGAAAACATTATTAATATGTACTGTAAAATCACGTATTCTCATGGGGTCGAATTTTTTAGGCTTGAGGAAAAAATATAAGTTTGCGGAGACCCTATTTCGTGGTTAGAGAATGTTAAGCAGTAATGCATGATAAATTTTAAAGTGGCACAGTGACGCACAAAGGGGAAAATTGACAAATGTACAATTTTCGCATGACCTCTGTAAATTTTGTTCAATTCCTTAAAGTATTAGGTTTCAGAAAATTACAGGTTTCAGAACCTAAAAATTGAATTTTTATGGGGAAAAATAAAAGTAAAAATTATTTCTGTCTGCCCCAGAACGAAAATATTGCAAAATACCCTGGTACTTCTTCCTCCCTATTATACGCGTGCGCAGAAAAGTGTTGAATAAGTTTCCATAGTTACCATGGTCTCAGGTATCCACGAATGAATATAAGTAGACCAAAAAATTTGATGTTATCTTTTTAAAAAAGTTGTTAGAACATATTTCTCACCTTTGCATGCTCCAGTTGAATTTTGTTTACAAGTTTGAGCTAAAAATAAGAGTAGCGTGACCTTGACATATACGAAACAACGCAACGGTAGATACAACCTTTGTTTTTCCGGCACTTATATTGTGCAGTCAATTCTTGCAGTTTAATTGTCATATCTTCGCTATATACTCATAATTTTCTTAAGTCTTTCTCTGTATGCTAGAGAATCTTAAAATTAAGATATGATTTTGACTCACTGTGCCGCTTTAAATTTCGTGGTGGTCATGCATTCCTGGGTCTCCCCATGCTTCAAAAACAACGAAAAAGGAAAATACAGTTTGGGCTTTGTTGTGCCCTAAAATTTTAATGTTATGAAATTGGCTTTGATACGAGTTGAGTAGACGAATAAAATAAATCATTTAAGAATATGGCATGAAGGAAAACTATTCTCGAAATATGGCGTCATTAATTGAATTCGTTTCGAGATATGTGCAGAATAGTCTCAAAAGGAGTCATTGTTATTTTCCTTTAGAAAATAGAGTCCACTTCAATTTTTGGATAATGGATATATTTAGAAAATTGCTTTGAAAATTTTTATTGAAACCGTACCTTGTTGTTAAACGAAAATACTCACTACAAACGTTAGTGATTTCACAGTATATTTTATCTCTCAGATATAAGAAAAATCGAAAATTAAAAAAAATTAGAGATGTAAGACCAAAGATAATACAAATGAAATAAAAAAAAAAATTATTCGAAGAAACTATAAAATTGTGTAAATGTTCTGTTTATAGTCATCTTTTTGAAATTATAAAATGCTTACGCTGGTTAGATGTATTTTATTCTGCAACAGCTGTGACATTTATTCCTGTACTAACTAAGAAAGAAATTTTATTGTTTATATTTACATCTGTATGAAAAGCATTCAAAATAAATTTTGATGTGTTAATATCATAGATGAATTTGTTGTATTATAGATAAAATTTGTCATTGTATGCATAACTGATGGAACAGACAATGTTCAAGAAATCCATGCACGTGGCTTAGTGTCGTTTGTGCATTGATTATTGGCAACAGGGGCGGATCCAGCCATTTTTGAAAGGAGAGGTTCCAGGGTTGTGTCCCTTTACCCCCCCCCCCTTTTTGCCTACACACTCTCAAGCAAAGATTCACACACAAGTATGGAAAGATCTAAGGTTGTGGTAAATAACATCTTTGTTTTAGGTCCTTTTTTCCTTTGAAAAAGTACCCCCAGTCCGAATAAAATAAACACATTTCAAAAACTACTGTAGCCAAAAAATTGAATGGATTTGCAGCATATCCTAAGATTATAAAGAATTTCTTTCGAAAGATATAATCAAAAAAGGATACATTAGATACCCAACAGATGCTGCTAAAGATCGCAGGAATTAATCTAATATCAAATTAAATTTTGTATGTTACATATCATATATAAGATATATAAAAATAAGTAGAAAATTTTCTACCATTCTCATAAAAAAAAAAGTAATAGTGAAGGTGAATGGAGGAAACTAAATGTATGAGAATATATCTATTCAACACATAGGTTAGACGTATAAATATTTATTCTCTGAAAATGTGTATACTCTCTCTCTCTCTCAACTTGGCAAAAAATAAAGGGGGGGGGGTCCAACCCCCGGAACCCCCCCCCCCCTCTGGAATGGGCAATGATCTTCATAAGAAATGATTGAAAAATATTCAGTGATGTAAATATTGAAAACTATACCGGTATTTGTATGTAGCCACGATTAAAGTCTTATGTGTTTCGACAGTAGGGAATTGATAAGTTTTGCTTCGATCCTCCTCGGGGCATTTAGTTACATGTAGTAAAACAAACAATCCAACAATATGTCGCTTTGATTTTATTCACTGAATTTTGAAATAATTATTAATGATTATCTCGCACTGAGATCTAAAGCAATTCTTCCGACCCACTAAAATTAAATAAATTAATAATTATATCTATTAAGAGATCTGCCTATCTGTTCAATAATTTTGTGATAATTACGCTATATGTTTCGAAACTGTGAAGATAACCAGACTTAAGTATAACTTATTTTTAAGAGATATTTCATTGTAATAAATCATTTTCCTATCTATATTACCTTTTTTAATACTCGGTCCAACTTTGATCAACCGACCAAATCGTCTGGACTTTTAAACAATGAATGATCCCTGCAGATTACACCCCTAATACATTCATCTTTTGGAATAAATGAACAAAATTATCTAAAATCTTAAATTCAACTAAGAAACATTGGGGTGCTTTTAACATTCTGTTAACGTAGATTTTTGTTTTACATTTATCAGCCTTTTTATTATACACAAAAGACATAATGAAACCCTATGCCCCTCAGTTGGATCTGAAAGATATCGAAGGCAAATGAGCATTGGTAAACCCATAGAACTTAGTATGCGTCGCAAGAGACAAGATATAGCATTAAAGAAGAACAAAGGAAAGAAAACAGCGAAAGGGGAATGCATGCGTACGGGAACTTCAACCAAGTTTCAGTAAACATAGAAACTAGATACAGGGACACTGGGTTAAACATGGACGGAAGGCAGCATGGCAGACATGAGATATATCCTGGCAGTGGGAACCATTTTTCATCTGGAAATGTTCCGTCAAACTACTATTTGCCGGGATATGTTCCACAAAGTCTTCCATCCACGGAATCAAATCGTCCTCCTGTGAACATGCAAATGACGCAGAAAGATCGAGGCTTAGGTCAAACCCGCGTGGGTCCTGTAGAAGATTTTCACGATTCTATCCTTCCGTATGGACAACGGCGAAATCAAAGCGACCACAATCAGGAACAAGAAGATGAAGATAAACCATCAAAGCTAAGAAATGTTCCGTCAAACTACTATTTGCCGGGTTATGTTCCACAAAGTCTTCCATCCACGGAATCAAATCGTCCTCCTGGGAACATGCAAATGACGCACAGAGAACGAGGCTTAGGTCAAACCCGCGTGGGTCCTGTAGAAGATTTTCACGAGTCTATCCTTCCGTATGGACAACGAAATCAAATCGACCACAATCAGGAACAAGAAGAACCACCAAAGCCAAGAAATGTATGGTGGTATACTGGATGTCGCGTATTTTCAGCCATTTTGATAATCCTGGATTTAACGTTCGACTGGATAGAGTACACTGACATGGAAGATCCTATCGAAGATGACAGTAATTGCCAAAAACAAGAATTCGATTCAGAAGATGTGGCGAATCAGTTTTTATATGTTTGTATTGCTGGCACTATCCTCGCCATTCTTCAGATGGTCAACATCGTTTACCAGATTGTTCAGAATCACCGCTTACATCCTACCGAAGAAATTCCAAATCATCTGGATGAACGTACTGAAGTATTCTTGGTGACGACATTTATTGAAATACCACAAAATTTTCTACTTTTTCGATACGAAAAACTTCTTTGTTTGGATTGCGAAGTAGAATGGGACTCAAAGACTATCAAACGATTTATGAATGGATTGGTAGCTTGTTTAAGCAGCATTTGGCGCTACATAACAAATATAAAAGTATCAGCAGGTGACAAAAGTGATGGCTGCTGCAGAAATCCTTGTCAGAAGTGTGGTGATTGCTTTGGTAACTGTATCAAAAAGTTCTGCAATGGTTTGCTGAAATGCCTTTGTCCCTGTTGCTGTTGTTGCTTTGAGTAAGTACATAGTTATTGGAATGTTGAACAAATTTTTAAAATATTTGTTAATATTTACATTTGCCGTTGCCTTGTAAGCCAACTGTGAAATTTATTATATTTCATTTTATTATATACCATTTTCGTGTATACTTACGCGTAGAAATATACACGGAGAAATGTGCATTTACGTGACGTCACAATGGGCTACAGCGGCGTTAGTAAAAGTATAACGAAATAGGGCAGCGAAAAATTCAAATATTGAGTATATTTTGTTATGCTTTTAGAGAGTTAAAATGTAATTATAAAGAATGTTTTTAAGATTAGTGTGATTTATTGGTGTGTGAATCACACAGACTTGCACGTAAGCATAGTTTTCATGAAGCGCGCAATGCCTACGTGACAAATGTGTGTGATTCACACACCAATAAATCACACAAAACTTAAAAACATTCCTTAATTATTTCTTTTTATAATGTTGGATGATCCTTTTTGCAATCTCAAAATCATATATGATTGCTTTTCTTACTTTTCTAGTTGCAAGACATTTTTTCCCTGCTGTTGCTGCTCGATCATCAGCAAAAATGGAAGCTGTTACACGGAATGCTGCTGTAATGGGAATTCTTGTAAAAATAATCCTAACGAGCCCTCAATACTGGCCGACCTAGCAGCCATACCCACGGCCCTCCACGTCTTCTTCTACACTGCAAGGGCCATGAAAAATTTCTGCAGCTTGTCAGGAATATATTCGGTCTACAATATTATTCCATGTTTTATAAACGATACCATTATCAGTTGGCTTTGGGACAAGGTTTTCTAAGTGTCATTGATGTAAAATTGATGAAATTTTTAAAATTTTACTTGGTTTTCAAATTCACCTTTTGCTCATAGATTAAAATGTTTTCTTGAGTAAACAGTGAATCAGCAAAATTTCAACTTGATTTTTGTTTGTTTTAAAGATAGGGATCCCCCTTTATCCCATGATCACAATCTCATAAATTTTATATAACTGTGAAAAAAAAAAGAATTTTTTAAAAAAAGTAGGACTTTTTCAGATTTTATGATCAAACCAATACCATATGATAATAATATACATTTATTGCATGATAGTGAGGGAAATATGAAGACTTATTCAGAAAAGAAAAATCATATTCCACGAGGGCTTCTCCCAAGGGGAATATGATATTTCTTGGCTGAATAAGTCTTCATGTTTCCCGAACATTCATGCAATGAATTGTTTATTATACCGAAACAAGCAAAATCTTTGAAATAAACATTAACTTTCAAATTCGGCACCGCTCTCAAATTCACTTTCATTTTTAACAAAAAATTAATAATATACAATTATTGCTGTTTTTGAGGTCAATACAATGATTTAGCCATCTGAGGAGTACAATATTTACCTCGCCCTTCGGGCTCGGTGAATATTGTACTCCTCAGATGGCTAAATCATTGTATTGACCTCAAAAACAGCAATAATTGTTTTATTATATGATTCATTGATAAAATGATACAGCACATTACTTGTTAACTTGCATTTAATTAAGTCCTAGCCAATTACAAGAGAGAAACAGAATTAAAATGTGAATAATCCTTACCAGTCGTATCAATTTGAAATGTTTTTTTTTAACAATTTTAGTTGCCATGAAAAAATAATATAATGTCAGTCTTTTTATAGGATAGATTTTGAAAGGAAGGAGTATTATCAGGGAAAACTGACTGCCAAAAAGTAAAAAAAAACAAAAACTTGTTGTTCAGTAAAAGTGTTGGAGGGGGGTCCCTGCATCCCTTCTTACCACCCTCACCCTAAAATATATATTCGCTTATGTTTTTTTTTTTTCACATAAAAAAAAGATCACAGTCGTTTAAATAGCTTTCCAAAACAATTTGTATGATTTTGGAATTTCCCAATCTATTTTTAGATCAATGTAGAGGAAATAAATCCTTGTATTGACCTGGAACGTCACGTGCAGGTCAATACAACGTAGTATTTTTCTAACATAGTTGGATCTCAGCCAATCAGAGAGATGGAAATTATTCAATCATATAATAAAACTCTTTGGTCAACACATTATCATCAATTTTGTGACGTAAACCAGGTTATTGTGACGTCTACAATACTCTCGGGAGTTTTCTTTAAACAAACGATAATTTTTGCGGGAAAATGCACTAAGTATCCGAAGAGGTGGAATATGATGAAAAGCATGCCGACGGCCGGGAAATATGAAGTTTTACGGCCCGATCACGTGATAATCAGATAAGGCGTTGTTTAGAATATTTATAATGAGGTAAAATAATATGTCTTATCTGTCTGAGATTTATTGCTAGAATTTTTCAACTAAGTTATACGGGTGTAAAAACAGTTTACGAAAGATTTTCTGAAGACAGTTTCAATGTGTTCATTTGATTGTTCGTCTAGTGTAAAAAAAAATATTTAGATCTAGAGATAGAGTTCGGATTTCATGAACATAGTAGCCATGCATTCAAGTACATTGGGTTTACAATAGCTACATGTATATTTTATGCAGATTAATGTAAGTTTAATCCCAAATAGATATTTGATAATAATACATTACTTAAGAAGTTTCTGGGATTAAGTTGACATTGAAAAGATCCTCTGGGAAGATTATAATGATTATAATAAATGTTTTGTGATGAAAATATGAGTTCTTTAAAATATCTTAATGATCTCTGCAACAAGCATTGATCTCTTATAAAACTGTTGAAGTCCACAGTAAGTATGAGACTATATACCACGTGTAATCTCTCTCTCTCTCTCTGAAATCTACTAGACCAAATATTAAAATTATATTTTTTTCAATTTTGAATTTAGATTAATTTTACTTTTAGGATTTTTTTACTGTCCGATTCATTCACCTACAATCAAATCCCTCCCAGAAATGTAAATCAAACAGTACTCCATCAGTTTTTCTGGTTTTTTTTAATTTTATTGAACGCCGTTGTCATGGTGACTAAAAATCCAAGCCTCTACTCCTATAGTCTTGGTTCGATTTCAATGACTTGGTTCACAATCCGACTAAATAAATAGGCACAATTTAGTGGGTTTCTTTGGTGTTTGATATCCATGAATGATGTTTCTATAAATACTAAAAGTAGATTTAAAATGCTATTTCCCCGACAGTTTTGATGCATTTTTCACACGACTGTGTACACAAGAACACAAGACAAAAAGAAAGTTTTGTTCATCAGTTCATGATTTCAATGAATAGTTTTGTGTTCCTTTTATTGAGATATCATTTAAATTTCATCAAGGAATCATTTAAATGATGATAGTTTTTAAAAAATCAAATTAAGTTACCGGAAATATATTTTTGCAAGAAATACTGTATATAAAACCTTAAATCTACATGGTTACGGTTATTGAGGTCTGTTGTGATATCGATTCTACCAAAATAAAGTTTACATGAAATGAGCTTTCAAGCATTTGTCACAATGGGCGCGTTCATACCCGTAACCATGCAGAGAAAGATCGTCTTTTCTATTGTAAATTCGACAAACCTCTTTTAATGCAGGTGGAAAATTATTACAAGCATAAATTTCTGCACATGTGTGAGAAAAATTAGAATTTTTCTTGAAAACTACCACAATCGCTGGTTGCAATGTTAAAAATGTAACTTCCGTTTTACAAAGTGTGTTTGCATTATCAAACGCATCGGCAGAAAATTAGATAAAATTCATATGTTAGGGTGCCAATCGGTTATATTAAACACAGATAGCTTTTATATTAGTACGTTTACTTAAAAAAATCAGCTGCTATAGGAGTTTTTTTTTCCCTGTTTTTACTTTTGGCCAGTTTTGACCACCTATTCCAGAAGTGCTAGGTACTTGCAACAACCAGCTCAAAGTATACATACGTATATACGTATACTATTTGCTGTTTCTTTTTGACAATGACAAAAAATCATAGATACACATTTTAAATTCTAAATTTTTTTTCACCCAAAATACTTAATTCAGCAGAGGATTTTTCGTGTGATGATTAATTTTTTTGTAAAGACACGCTTAACAATTACGGAATTTTCATAAAATAATAGATAAAATAGAGTGTATCACTTTTTTATCAGTTTTCTTGAAATGTACTTGTACATCATTAAAATTCATTGTATTATAAGAAGTAACTCTATTTAATGACTATAGTGATACATAAACATTTTGCAAGAGAAATGGTTAATCCTACTATGTTACATGTATACAACAGACAAGAATCCTTTACATAAATTTTCCTTAATAACTCTTTCTGGGTTTAATTTGATTGGATCTATCTACATTATTACATTACAGTCTGTAAACACATGTCAAGCCTAGGAGCCTTGGTCTTGCATCAGGGGTAAAAATGGTAGCAAATAAAGCTGCACTTGATCATGAATCCCTAAAGATGCCTTTAAGCAAACTATTTTGTGTGTGTATTGTTGGCTTGACACTCCACCACTATTTTCTCTTTATTTTAGATAGGAGAGGGGCTGTCGCTTATTTATGGTTCTGTCGGAATCAAGGTCGGACTCAAAGAGGATGAGTTTCCCTGAATCCTCCTATCATTTATGATGATCGTCCGTTTTCGTATTCACAGCTGTCCCGAAGCTGCTAATCATCTTAGTTGTGTTGGCTGTGGCTGAAAGTCGTGTGTACGCTCTTCTTTGGCCAACTGAAAGGTCATGGTTTTATAACATAAGCAGCACCCATATCGCCTTTTTTCTTGTCCTCAGATGCACAAGTGATGAAATGTAATCTCAAGGCTTCGTGCGACGAAATTAAGTTAAGACATATTGAACACATGGAACCTAGATTTTTCTGAGCTGCTTTTTTCAAGGGCTTTTTGGTTAAGGATATGAAAAACATATAACGAATCATTGAATAAAGAATTATAGGTAAATTGTTAATTTTAGTGCTAATTAAGCCTTTTTTGCTGCCTTCGACCTGTAAACTCTACTTCCATTTTATTCAGATATATAGATATATATGTGTGTATACTCACTACTTTTCAAAATCAGAATTTTATGTATCTTTATTTTTGTCCCCAACTAGGCACTCATCTTTACTTTCTGTATCGAGACTGCGGTTTTGCGACCTATATGGTCTCATTCTATCTATATGCTCTACCGTAGTTTTTTTGCATCCTCTCGCTTAATTTTATATGTAAAATGTATTTCTCTCTAATCATATAAGGGTCATACCAAAAGCTCATAAACTTTGAAAACTTTTCTTTAGTTCTTTCAGGGATACATACCAACACTGTATTACCAATTTCAGTGTTTATGAGTGTCATCCCTACTATGAGATGTCTTCTATCGTAACAGAGCTTTGTACATGAGTGGATGTAATATAGCATTGTGGTAGAAGCACATAGATATCCTCTACGAATAAACAGGTTTTGTTCCTTCTGAATGTGATGGTAAATTTTGTAGAACATGATCACACGATTTCGGGCCGTCCGATGTTCTAATGGTTCCCAGCCAAGTTGATGTAGCATGATAGTCACACTCCCTGGGTCCCTCGATGAGTAATCGCCAGTGGCAAACCTTGCTGCCCGGCGGTGAGCATTTTCTGGGTGTTGGATTAAATGACGTTGGTAAGGATCCCGAACCACTGATGCGTACTCCAATACTGGACGTAATAGTGTAGTGTATGCCTTGCCTCTGATAGCCTGTGGGCAACTTCTGAGGTTCCTTCTTAAAAATTCAATAGTTCCGTGGCCTTGGCAGAAGTCGAGTTAATATGCTCACGCCATAACGGATCTTGGCTAATTTTGATTCCAAGGTATTGTCATTGATTGGTTGCATTGTCCTGTAGATGAGGCAGTCGTCTGCAGATAATTTAACATTTAATGTTACCACCTTCTGGAGGTCATTAATGTAGGCAAGAAATAATAGGGGACCCATTACTGTGCCTTGAGGTACTCCGGAGTTCGAGTCTGCTATGTTTGAGGACATCCCTTCAACCAATACTCGCTGTTTTCTGT